TTCTTCTTCTCGAGCAGCTTCCATCTTACCAAATGCACCGCCCGCTTCGCGTATAGTCCCTCCGGACCCACCGCTCTAAAAGAATTAAGAATCGTACACAAAACGCCCTGCCCCAAATACTGTTCTCAGTTAGAAGCAAATGTTGCTTCACAACATCCTTCAAAAACAGTGCACTGAGAGAACTGTTCCATCTATCTTACCTTTCCGGAGCCGCTACCCAATTCGCCGAAACCGATGCAGCGGACAAAATGCCTGAAAAACCAACGTAAAGGTAAAAAACTTTTGACTACCACTTATCATCACAGTTATTTTTGAAAATTTGTAGACAGCTTTATAGACAAACTGATGCTTTGTAATCCTTTAAAATTGTTCTGCATAATCAGGACAATAATATCTTGTAGCGCTAAGAAAACAGCAGGTTATCTACTAAAAGAAGAAAATGAAGAAGTCTAACTTGTTCCATAATGAACACAGCTTTGCACTTCGAAGAGCCATCTGAAAAAACAATTTTTAGAATTACAAGCGTTTCTTCTGAAACCAATGAGGACTTCAACAATATTTGACAAATAACATGAGGAACCATACGACCAAACAAGTACAAAGAAGCAGCCATTTTGTAAATGTAAATACATTAATCCAGAAACTAAAACTGAGTAATAAAAATTACTTCGGTATAGATCTTGTTAGATGGAAAGTTCTTAAACACGTTGAACAGGTGCGGTCAACAGCAACAATGCCAAAAGTTCACTTCTTGGCACAAATGAAAAGAATATTATTTTTGATCTGTCAAAACTAAAGTAGATATCAGCTGAATTAACCACAGGTCATAAACTGACGTTACCCAATTTCGGACAAGCAATAACGACATAAATTCATCAACCGATATTTATACCGAATATCGTAACAATCAACCGCTAGGTAAAGGTTGTTCGTTCGTCTAGAACTTTCCTCTCGTTCTCTACTTAACTAGGCAAACAGCTGTGGGTAAAATTTTGTGAACAAAACCGATCACGAGTAGCAAAAAACCAGCCAACTACGCACTCTTGGTCGATTTTCTGCACTCCAACAAAAGGCCTAAATGACAGTGGGCCCGGTGTGATAAACCAAATACCTCACACCGCAATGGTGCCAAGAAAAAATACTGTTGTGAAACTGCGGACAAATGACAAAAAAAAAGAGGAAAATTCCTTTTCAAAAACATTTTTTAAACTATCATGTCTCTCTTTTTAGTTATTTAAACTAATCTAGTTAAGTTTTCCTTTTTATCTCTGCAAAGCATGAGAAAACATAGTACGATAGTCTTGTCAGTTAATGATAATAAAAACGTAATTTTGAAAGGGTAATCAAATAGGAAAACCGTAATTTCATCGCAGGCTTTTTTTTTTCGAAAACATTTTAAAATACAGTGTTCAAAGAACCGACTAAACAACATAAATTTCGCAAGGTTCATATAATTCAGTTGCCTGCTACACGAAGAAGTATTTATTTATATGGACAAATTGCGTTCAAAAGTCTAGACAATATGATACGCGTGAGCATTCCGTGACACCAAAAAAAAAACAAAAAAGCTCAGAAGTATATGTGCCGTAACCAAAATTAAGTAGTTTTGACCACAAATCAATTTGCGAGTTCAAAAGAAAGGCCATTTGTTTAGCGGATCATCCTTTCTTTCCTCCTTTGCTACACACGAATACATTGTATTCATCAACACTTCCTTAGCTTAAAGGGTAGGAATAAGGGGAAAATGAACCCTTTTTTCAGCGGCAAATTGGCATCTAATGTTACTCTTTGTGCGCGTCTTTTTTTCTCCACCAATTTTCCAAAAAAAAAAAAAAAAAAAAAAAAAAA